TAAGTCACTTGGTATGACACCCCCTCATGTAAATACAATGATTTCTTTTTGTCAACTTAAAAAAGGTATTAAACTTCAGAAGGCTGAGGACCATAGTGTCATAGGACATCTTGGTCAGTGGATACAACTTAATTGATAAAATTCATGTTCTACATCCTAGTTCTATAAGTAGCATCTGTGTTCTTAAAATCTTGTGTGTCCACTAAGATATAACTATTGGTCTCTACTCATCTGGAGCAAAAGAAAAAGAAGGAATCCAAAGACTCAAAGAAGAAACAAGTCTATAGGACTGATTGCCTATATGAACCACAGCCTCACCTATTCAGAGACGAGAAGTGCTGGATGGTGCCCAGCTCCCTACCAACTCATCTGACTCAGGTTATAATAGATGGTCCTGGATAGAATGGGAGAAATTTTAAAACAAAACTCAGAATTACAAAACAAGGCCAGAGTTACTGCACTGACAGGACCAGGAGTTAAGTGCTTGGCTGTTAACCGCAAAGTTGGTGGTTCGAGCATAACCAGCAGCTCTATGGGAGAAAGACCTGGTGATGTGCTTCTATAAATATTAACCCTTTCCAACTGTCTTAGAGTCAATTCTAACTCATAGCGACCTGATTAGACAACATAGAACTGGGCCCTAGGGTTTCCAAGTCTGTAATTGTTAATGAAGCAGACTGTCACATCTTTCTCCTGTGAAGCAGCTGGTGGGTTCAAACTGCTGACCTTTTTGTTAGCAGCCAAGCACTTAACCACTGTGCCACCAGGGCCTTCTGTAAAAATTACTGCCAAGAAAACCCTATGGGGAAGTATTTTTAGGCCACATTGGGTCACTATGAATTGAAATGAATTTGATGGCACCTAACAACAACAAAACAAAATCATAAGAGAATTAATCCACTTATGTGGTTCTAACCTATTTCACAGAATATTTTTAGATGTACATACATTTTTGTGAAGAAAAAGTTTACCATTTGCTAAATAAGTTTTGGAAATACTATGTACTATTTTTCATGCTTAGAGGTTCTCAGTATACATTATGACAGGAAAGCCTGCAAAATTCAGTAATTTTGTCTGTCTGTCTTGTTAAGAATATTCAAGTTTATTTGACCACAGGTTACCCCCTCCTTTTTTTCTCAACACATATTAATTCACACAAGAACATTTGTGTCTTAGGATGTGGTTTTGGAAATGTTACATGGGGCAATGTCCTAGATCTTCCATTTTTAAATAAATCTTGTGTGGGTTTTATTTCACGATGATGCTTCAGAGGTATCTTCCAGCAGCTTCTATTGATGTTTCTGTCCTTCAAGGTGTTACATCACGTTGGCTCAAGCTTTGGGGATGAGTATGGGGGGAGCTCCTGCCGGACCTGCAGGGACAGGCAAAACAGAAACAACCAAAGATATGGGACGATGTCTTGGGAAATATGTCGTGGTTTTCAATTGTTCAGACCAGATGGATTTCCGAGGACTTGGACGGATTTTTAAAGGTAAGAGTTACCCTTTTTACTTGATGAGAAATTTCAGCTAAGGTGGGATGTCCTGTTATGATTTATTTTTCAGCAGCTGGCTACCTTTCAGCCTCATTTTTCAACTTTGTAAAACTTTTGGAAAACCTTGAATCTTACCAGGGTGATGTAGACCTGGTTTTAATCTCACTTACCTTTTGTAAGGGAGCTCTGGTAGCATAGTGGCTAAGGCTCTTGACTGCTAACCAGAAGGCTGGCGGTTCAAACCCATCAGCCACTCCTCTGAAGGAAGGTTGGGCAATCCTACTTCCATAGTGATACTGCCTCGGAAACCCAAGGAGGGGTCGCTATGAGTCAGGGCTGACTCAACGGCACATAACAACAACAACAACAACAACCTTTTGTAATGTTCCTTTGTCACTGCAGTTATGGTTGTTGTTGTTATGTGCCATTGAGTTGTCTCCAACTCATAGTGGGGGACCCCCTCCTTGGGTTTGCGAGGCAGTATCACTATGGAAGTAGATTGCCCAAGCTTCCTTCTGAAGAGTGGCTGGTGGGTTTGAACCACCAACCTTCTGGTTAGCAGTTAAGTGCCAAATTGGGAGCTGTTTTGGGGGGCTTCAAGCATGATCTATTTGTTCCTCTTTATTTTGGAATGAACCTATTATTTTCTCTGTCTTATCTTGGCAGCTACATAGCTTTTTCTTTGTGGTTCTAAAATTATACACTAATTGAATTTTCTATTTAATTTCCTTTCTAAGGACTGGCACAGTCTGGATCCTGGGGTTGTTTTGATGAATTTAACCGTATCGATCTACCGGTTCTCTCAGTTGCGGCTCAGCAAATTTCCATCATTCTGACTTGTAAAAAGGAGCGTAAAAAATCTTTTATTTTTACTGATGGAGATAATGTGACAATGAACCCTGAATTTGGACTTTTTCTAACCATGGTAAGGCAACACGAGAACAATGAGTGACTTTCAGCCTTTGTATCACAGTTTCTTCCATGCCCCTGGTCAAAGACCATCTATTTTCCATGAATTGAAATTGGTATTGTAATTTTTTGGTGCTTGTTTGAAAACCTTTGTTGTTCAGCAAAATCTGTATTAATAACTCATGAGCCAGTCTCTCCAGTTGAAAGGAGAGTGGGATTTGTAAATGGCCTTGGCAGTTCTCGTCCTGGGTTTGTTGAATCTACATAATGAATCTTTTCATTTCATGCTGATGATCATGCTGCCCTGCCAGTGTATCATCCGTCCATGGGTTTTATTTTCTGTTTAGAATCCTGGCTATGCTGGGCGGCAGGAACTTCCGGAAAACCTGAAGATTAACTTCCGCTCCGTGGCCATGATGGTCCCCGACCGTCAGATTATCATACGGGTGAAGTTGGCGAGTTGTGGCTTCATTGACAACATCGTTCTGGCCAGGAAGTTTTTCACGCTCTACAAGCTGTGCGAAGAGCAGCTGTCTAAGCAGGTGTGATGTTCCGAAGGGGTCTGTGTACTTATGCATGTTTTGTTTTTCTATTAAGCTCAGTTTTCACCTTTTGAAAAATTGTACCATCGGGGCTGTTGGCAAAGTACCTGTGGATTCAGAGTAGGAAGGCTATTTCAAAAATAACTTTAGTGTATGTGCTACTGAAGCAAGCACAAGAAAAAGTAAGTCTATATGCATAGCTCTATTAAGTACATTTAAAGAAATTAGTAACTATAGCATAGGAATAAAATGAATACTCTGACCTGATTTAAGAACCAAAGAATGATGGGTATTATTGTTTGCGGCTTAAACCACATTGATCCCAATGTGTGGATGCACTGTCATAGTTTTTGGGAACCTCTCAACCATTTACTCTCCTCACTTCTGAGCCCACTCAAGTACTTGGCCAACCGTTGCTAATTGTGTGTCCTCTCTATTCTAAGCTTCTTGCTAGATTCCTGTGCCATGTAGAGTAGCAGGTTCTGCCATCTTGCTTTTTCATAGTTAAGAGATATAAAATGAATCATAAATTATTTCTCTACGGGTTATCTATTGCTACATAATATTATTATACTTAGAAATTTTATCATCTCACAGTTTCCATGGGTCAGGAGTCCAAATATGGCTTAGCTGGGTCCTCTGCTCAGGTTCCAACAAGGCTGTGATCAGAGTGTTGGGTGGGGCTATGGTGTCATTTGATGTTCAAGTGGGGAAAGATCTGCTTCCAGGCTCTCTCAGGTTGTTAACACAATTTCATTCCTTCAAGCAGTACTGAAGGATTTAACTTCTTTCTGGTTGTTTCTGTCTTCAGTTCCCACTGGCTGCCCACAGTTTCTTGTGACATGGTGTTCCCCAATATGAGACTTGCTCCCTCAAAGTCAGCAGGGGAGATGATATGTCAGAGAGAGACAGATTATGTAACATGATCACATCATAACCTGTGCTGTATTCTGTTGGCTAGAAACAAGTCACAGATCCCACGTACACTCAAGGGGGATAGGATGACACAATGGTGTGAATACAGTGCGATGGGGATCATGTCACCAGTTTCTCGAACATATAAATAAAAATTACTAAAGTCCTATGTGAAATAATAACCCACTATGATGAGCTCTGAATTTGGACTTTTTCTAACCATGGTAAGGCAACACGAGAACAATGAGTGACTTTCAGCCTTTGTATCATAGTTTCTTCCATGCCTCTGGTCAAAGACCATCTATTTTCTATGGTAACGTGAGAAACCACCTTTGTCAGTTTGTCTTACTGTGGTAGCTTCTTATTATGGTGTTGGTGGAAGCTATGCTACTGGTATTTCAAATATCAACAAGGTCACCCATAGTGGTCAGGTGTTTGCAGAGCTTTCAGACTAAGAAAGACTACTTAGAAAGGCCTGGTGATTTACTTCCAAAATTTAGTCAGTGAAAACCTAAGGGATCACAACAGAACATTGTCTGATTAGTGCTGGAAGATGAGCCTCCCAGGTTGGAAGACACTAAAAGGGCACAGTGGCTGCAGCAATAGACTTGAGCCAGTCAACAATTGTAAAGATGACACAGGACCAGGCAGTGTTCTGTTCAGCTGTCCATGGGGTAGCCATGAATCGGGGCTGACTTGACAGTACCTAACAACAATATATGTAACCCTTTAATCCCTTTCCCTACTCTGGCTGCCATTCCAGACTTCTTTAATTTACATTATTTTTTATACCTACACTTTCAACCAAATTACATTCCCATTCAGAAGTTCTTTCTCTATGGATATTCAAGCACAAACAGCCTTCTAACACTAGCCTTTGGGCCTTCCTGGCTAGCCAGATCCTAATTCTTTGCTCTTTTACTACTAACCTTGGTTTCTTCTGCTTGATGCAACCCTTAGTCATCATTTTGTCTTTCCATTAAAAACTGCCCCCTGTGCTGTTTCTTGTGTATGTTGTTGTTGTTGTGTGCCGTCGAGTCAAACCCGACTCATAGCGACCCCTCCTTGGGTTTCGGAGGCAGTATCACTACGAAAGTAGGATTGCCCAACCTTCCTTCCGAGGAGTGGCTGGTGGGTTTGAACCGCCAGCCGTCTGGTTAGCAGGCAAGTGTCTTAGCCACTGTGCTACCAGAGCTCCCATAGAAAGACTGAATTACAGCTTTCACTTCTGTTTCCTTCATTCCTATAGCCCTTGCTCTCAAGGTTGCTGTAAGATGGAGTAAGTCAACGTGTGCAAAGCACTTAACCCCACGTTGGTCCCTGAGTGGACCTTTGGTGACTCTCACATCACACGCACAGATTTAACACCAACTTTGGTAGGATGCTTTCCCGGACTACTTTCACCCAGTACCACTTTCAAGTCATTGGTACTTTCATGCAAGTTTATTCATATTTTTATTTTACTACCTTTGTAAGAATTTAAACTCTCTGAAGTCAGGAATTCTATTTGGATATTTTTATCTGCTCTACCCTCCAAATCCTCACAACTGGACCAATAAGCAGCATCATGATAAATGGAGAAAGTATTGAAGTTGTTAAAGATTTAGTTTTACTTGGATCCGCAATCAATGCCCATGGAAGCAGCCATCAAGAAACCAAATGGCATATTGCATTAGGCAAATCTACAGCAAAAGACCATTTGCCATTCTGCCTTGTTATTGTATGTTCAAACTGCCAGTCTGCTAGCTAGCAGCCGACCACTTAGCTATTGCTCCACCATGGTACTTTAATATGGAAAGTAAGCTTGGCGTGTCTCACCTTCTCCAGGTGCATTATGACTTTGGTCTACGTAACATTCTGTCAGTGCTGAGGACACTGGGAGCCGCGAAAAGAGCCAGCCCCACAGATACAGAATCCACTATAGTCATGCGTGTTCTACGGGATATGAATCTCTCTAAACTGGTAAGATTCCCACATAGAAATGTGCCACCCACTTACATACTGGTTCAACTCGCCAACCACAGATGGGATGTAGAAATATTTATTCAGAACGCTCGTTTTACATGCTCATCATCACACAAAATGTTGGAGAACGTAACTTAAAATTAATGCTTTTTATGGAAGTTCTTACTTTTTGTCATGAGTCACAACCAGCCCACAATATGCCTATTCCAATGGAATTGAAGTGGAATTTTAAAATCCACCTGGTAAGGTTCTGAATTTCTTGAGTCATCTTTGTATTATTGGAACTAAAATCTCACCTTCTTTAAAGTCTGTAGTGCCTGGTAAGAAATTCTGAATTCTACAAATGTGTAACAATTTCATACTCCTTTAATTCACAATAAAACCCATTGCTACGGAGTGGATTCTGACTCAGAGCAACCACCCCATAGGGTTCCCAAGGCTGTAAAGCTTTATAGAAGCAGGCTGCCACATTTTCCTCCTACAGGGTAGCTGGTGGGTTCAAACCACTGACCTTTGAGTTAGGAGCTAAGCTTAAACACTGTGCCACCAGGACTCCTTTTGATCCAAGTATATAGTGTCAAAATGATGTATTTTTATTTCAAAATAAAAGGATGAACCAAATTCCAATGCTTGAATTTACTCCTAAAACCAACTGAAACCAAAGCACACTGCCAACACGTCAATTCCAACTCATAGTGACCCCCATTGGGTTTCCAAGGCTGTTAACATTTATGGAAGTACATTGCCTCATCTTCCTCCCATGCAGCAGCTGGTGGGTTTGAACTGCTACCTTCTGGTTAGCAGCCAAATGTCTTACCCACTATGCCATCAGAGCTCCTTGAATTTACTACAAGCTATCATTTAAAAATTCTTTGAATGTAGATTAGGTATTGTGAAGTATGAGACTCCAGTAAGGCCGGTTAGTATATGGAAAGGTCATGGTATAGGCTTATTTTCTTCCTTCCCTTCCTTTCCTTTCTTTCTCTTCTTCCTCCCTCTCCTTTAAAAAATGTTTTAATTTCTGGAGAAAATGAGGAAGGTATTACACAGTGTCAAATGCAGGTGACCCTCATTTATCAATGATGGGAGCTCTGGTGACATAGTGCCTAAGGCATTTGACTGCTGAACAGAAGACTGGTGGTTCAATCCCACTTAGCCACTCCTCAGAAGGAAGATTGGGCAATCTACTTCTTTAGAGACACCGCCTTGGAAGTCAAGGAGGAGTAGCTGTGAGTCAAATCGACTTGACAGGACTGAGGGTTGTTTATTTTTTAAACCACAAAACTATCTGGGCTGTGTTGGGCATCTTCCGGTGATCTGTGTATTGCCACATTTGGGCTAAAATAAAACAAAACAAAAAACCAAACTCTCTGCCGTTGAGTTGATTCTGACTCATAGCAACCCCCATTGGGTTTCTGAGGTTGTAAATCTTTATGGAAGCAGATCACCCCATCTTTCTTCCATGGAGCAACTAGTGAGTTTGAACCACTGACCTTCTGATTAGCAGTCAAATGCCTCATTCACTATGCTATGAGAGCTCCTTGGGCTAAAATATTTGGTCTGATTTCCCTTCCATTCCCTTTTAGATTGATGAAGATGAACCCTTATTTTTGAGTTTGATTGAAGATCTCTTTCCGAATAATCTTCTGGATAAAGCAGGATATCCTGAACTGGAAACAGCAATTAGTAGATGGGTAAGATAGTTCACAGGGCATCAAGCACTATGCCTGTCTCATTGGAAATTAATGGCAATCAAGCTTGATGTGGCCTAAACCTGGGGGTCTGAGACCAACACGCCAAAGCTACAGCTACTGTTTTAACGGAGGCAAAGCCTTTGCACACACCAGAGGGCTTCTCCTGCCAGGGTGTCTCCTTCCATCACACAACCATGTGTCCGTTTCAGCCATGTGCCTAGCTGCCAGTTGCATAGCAGTTGCAGTGAAGTCGACTCCGACTCATGAGGAAGCTTTGTGTGTCAGAGTGTGATTGCATTCCACAGGCTTTTCAATGGCTGATTTTTCAGAAGTAGGTCTCCAGACTTTTCTTCCTAGAGGCCTCTGGGTGGACTTGGAACTGCTAACCTTTTGGTTAGTAGCGTAACACTTAACTGTTTGCACCACTTGGGAACTCTAGTATGTGCAAGTGGCCCTGTTTTTTTCCAGACCAAATTCACAGATGAAACATTCCTGGTGAGCAGGGATTGGGTGAGGGCTTAGCTTGCTGACTGGCCATACTTGGCTTGCCTCTGTCTCCAGCTCTGTGTTTGCCACCATGTTTCTTCTCCAGAATCCTGCTTTTGATACTTGCAGCAGTCTCCAGGGTCTTCTCAGCTCTTGCTCTTTCCTCCCAGGCCCGTATCACTGGTGGTCTCTTCCTTCGGCTCTGAGGATCCATCAGACTATGTCTATCAGCAGGTCTCTAGGCTTTCTATGACATTTTGTGCAGCTCCAACTGTGGACCGTCTTCCTGGGAATGGAAATGAATCATGTAAACCCTGTGCCTATGAGGAACGAGAGTTTTCTTTCCTACAAAGAAGAAGAGTTTGGAATAAAAATTTGTTCTACAAAAGTGATGATTAGCTCCCATTTTTAGAAAACATTTCAAGTCCTTTAAATTATTTGTGATAAATATCTTAATGATCCTTGAGTGGTGCAAACAGTTTGTGCTCGATTGCTAATCTAAAGGTTGACAGTTCACACCTACCAATGGTGCCATGGAAGACAGGCCTGGTGACCTGCTTTTGTTACGATTATAACCAAAAAAACCTTATGGAGCAGTTCTCCTCTGTAACACATGGGATCACCATGAGTCAGCACTGACTCGATGGCAATGGGCACAGTTATATTTTTATGATGGTACTTGATAAATATTTTTTTTTTAGTAAAACAGAGTATCAAATTTTAATTTCCTGATTAGGTAATGAGAAATGATTTCTTCAACTTATGGCTACATTAATTGTAGCATTGCCTAAAAAATGATTTATAAGGCAACTTATGTTAGTAATTTATAGCATAAAAAATGTAAATAATAAGCATAAAATGATACATGAGTTTTATCTGCAATGATCTAAGTGAAATTCTAAGCATCATTTTCAGTGGATTCTAGCATAGCATGATGGTTAAGATCATGAACTGTCAAGCTGAACTTCTTGGGTTCAGATCCCCTGCTAATATTTCACAAGTTGAAAATCTTGGGCAAATTGCTTAGTCACTGTATGCTTCAGTTTTCTTATCTGTAAACTGAGGATATTAATAGTACCAGTCTCCTTGTGTTGTTATAAAAATTGAACTTAGAATAGTGTTTGGCACACTGTAACTTTCACATATATATTAACAGATTAACAACTAGCTGTTGGGTTTATAAAGCCAGCTTGAAATTTATGTGGAATTTCAGTCAACCTGGGATGCTATAGTTTTATTATACTGATTAAATTCTCTTAAATTAAACATTTAAAATACATTTTACAATTCAAATCTCTGTTCTTAAGCTGCTTCTAAGACATGCACTCAATAAAATGGTAATATAATTTTATCTGGTTCCCAAAGACAAATGCAGATGTTTCTTCTTGGCTTGGGATTTCATTTTATGATGTTTAGCTTTTTTTTGCCTGCATTTATTTTGAACACAACGTTAATTCCAGATTGCCATGGCTTTGGCCCATTGTGGTTGTTTTGTTATGTTTTTAGGTTGAAGAAGCTGGTTTAATCAACCACCCTCCTTGGAAACTCAAAGTCATCCAGTTATTTGAAACGCAGAGGGTGAGGCATGGAATGATGACCCTGGGGCCCAGTGGGGCTGGAAAAACGACCTGCATCCACACCTTGATGAAAGCCATGACAGGTACAAGGCGGCCAAAGCACATTGTCTTGGGTGATGCATTTATGTACTTGTGACCCATTTGAATGGACACTTTAATAGACTGTTATAGGAGAGGATGCTACTTCCCTGATTATTTAGAGATGATATATGAATAGACTAGAGAGAAAAATGTTTTCTGAGTGACTTTATGCATTGTGCATATTTTGCAATATGTGATGTGATTTAATTCTTATAACAATCTTGAGGGGGGAAAAGAAACACAGTTGCTGTCAATTGGATTCCGACTCACAGTGACCCCATGTTTGTTGAAGTAAAACTGCTCCATGAGGTTGTCAGTGGCTGGGTTTTCAGAAGTAGATTGCCAGGCAATCTACTTCTAGGGTGGCTGAAGGTGGACTCAAGCCTAGCCTCTTGGTGAGCAGCTGAGAATGCTAACTCCTTGCATCATCTAGGGGCTCGAATGATCTTAAGAGGTGTCTGTCATTATCCACATTTGGCACAGAAACTGAAGCTCAAATTCAGCAGTCACAAAGATGGGAAGTGATGGGTCTGCGACTTAAGGCCCACTAACTGAGAACCTGTGTTTTTCCCAAAAATATACTACGCCACTTCCCAAAAAATACAAAATACAACATGCAACCTCCCAATAAATATAAAATAACTCTAACCCCAACTCTTAAATTGTACGCATTGAAAACCATACCTATTGACTAACTTCCTAGCTGGAATTAGATATTTTTTTCTGATGAAGTTAAATAAATGCATTTAGTTTCTAAACATCTTCAGGCTTGCAGACCCTAGGTCGTTGAATGGAAATGAGCACTGCCACGTTCCCGATGATGCTGATCAGACATTGATAACTCTGTTCCTACAAGTATGAGCATCCCTCAGCCATGGCAGAGCAAAGTTCCAGAAGTTTCGTGCTGCTGTGGCTACTGGAAGGCAGTACACCCGGTCCCTCAGAAAAAAGGTGACTGGTTGGTTTCTGGTCAGCTCGTGGGATCTCATTTCACCGGTACTGAGGTCATGGCTGCTGGAGATTGCTGGTGTTTACTGTGGAGTCCCGGACACACTGCATTTAGTCCCAGTCCCCGCACTTACGGGATGAAGTTACTTCTGTACATCAGATGGAGCTCTCTACCTCCACTGAGCACTCACACCTGCAGGATTGATCATGCACTTTTCATGTGTGTTATTAAGATTCTGTTTTGGGACTTTTTGTACAGCTTGAAAATGATTGCATTTTCCATGTCTAATTATGCTTGATATTTTTGTTGCAGTAATGCAGCTGCCTTTTGTTAACAGGAAACTACAAATGCCCCTGGTGCCATGCATTCAAGTAAATATTCAGCAGTATTAATATATTATGTAGAAAAAACAAAAAAAAACTCACTGCCATTGGGTTGATTCAACTCATAGAGACCATTCCTTGGGTTTTTGAGGCAGTATCTCTATGGAAGTAGATTGGCCAATCTTCCTTCCGAGGAGTGACTGGTGGGTTTGAACCAGCAGCCTTCTAGTTAACAGTCAAATGCCTTAGGCACTGCGCCACCAGAGCTTTGGTTTTTATATTATGTACAGTATGTCTAAATTATGTAATACACATGACATCACTGATTTTGGAAAAGTTTCTTGCAAGGATGAATTAATCATTAGAATATTTGCTATTTGTTAACTTACTCTTGGTTTTAGTATGCAGGGAAAATATTTGTTACCTTAAGTAACACATTGTTTCTTACTGAAAACTTTAATTATACACAAAATTGAGCAGGTAATTGAGTAATTGGATTGAAGAAGAACAAGACCCTTGTATGTTATTTGTTTCTATGTTCCCAAAATGTCTTTGTAAACATTGTGTACTAGGACCTGTACTAGAAGCAGGAAAACAGGTATGAAAAACATGGCCTTTTCTTCAGGGAGCTTAAGGTCTGGAGGAGGGACATAGATGGACACAGTTATAGCTCAGTATGGAATTGCTATGAGGAAGGTTTGGAAAATTAGGCTGTGAACAGAGGTGAAGGTGATCGGAAGCCTCTGTAGTAAACTAGAGTAGGTGGCTTTTTTATTATTTTTTTTTAACTTATACTTTTTTTAAAAAAAAAATTTGAGATTTGGGTGAAAGTTTACAGAGTAAATTCATTTTCCATACAGTGGTTCATGCACATTTTGCTTAAAGACATGAAAGGACACAGGAAGGAGGTGGCTACAGGGAAGAAGTGGAAAGAGAGCTGTTATGTTGTGGGGAATTGTAGTCACGTCATAGAGCAGGCTTTGAGAACCCTGTCGAGTAGTTCTGCACACACAGGAGATGTGCAGCGTAGCATCAACTCAAGGACACCTACCAACAAAGCAGGCTGACAGGGGAAGTGGCACTTCAGCTGAGCCTTGGGGGTTGAGTGGTAGATGGATGAAAGGCATTCTCAGCATAAAGAAGGTGTGTAGGTAGGAAGGATGGCAGAAAGCATAAGGCCAGGAGGTGGTTTTGAATGGCCGAAACGTAGCTTGCATGTGAGGTGGGTGTGGGGGAGATGAGGCTGGATATGGAAGTGCGGCAGATGCTTCTGGTGCCTAACTGACACATCCTGTTGCAGATGCATCTGTATTGAATAGGTTCCCTCCCAAAGATCTGAATGGTGGTGCCTAAGGCACTTGACTGCTAACCAGAAGGCTCGTGGTTCACACCCATGAGCCACTCCTCGGAAGGAAGGTTGGGCAATCTACTTCTGTAGTGATACAACCTCGGAAACCCAAGGAGGGGTTGTTATGAGTTGGGTCCAACTCGATGGCACACAACAACAAACAACAACAAGTGAAGATATTAGGTGTAGCATAAGGGGCTTGTAATTTATGCTAAATATTTAGTTGTTTAGTTATTTTTCATCTTGTGATTGTTATTGAGAATATACACAGAAAAACCCACCAATTCAACAGTTGCTACACACACAGTTCTGTGCACTGATTATATTCTTCAAATTGTGCAACCGTTTTCTCACCCTTCTTCTTGAAGTTGTTCCTCTCCTGTTAACTCGACCTCAGTGCCCCTCAGGTTCCTATATATAATCTTTTGAGTTGCTGTGTTTTCACTTTGATCCCAAATGGATTGATCTTAAAACAGCTTAATGTTCAAGGCAGCTAAACTATTGTTTGGCTTAAGGTTTAAAAGATTATCTCAGGGCAATAGTGTCAGGGGTTTGTTCAGCCTTTGTGGCTACAGAAAGTCTGGAGTCCATGGGAACGAAATATCTGGGGTTTAATCTACAGGCTGAAGGAAGCTGGGAGTGGAAGGATCAACCCTGTGTGTGGAATATCATTGGGTGGTCTCATTGAGAATAGACTGGGGGAAGGTGGAAGGGTGATCTAGAGTCGGTAAGGATGTTATGGAAATAAAGGTTGCAATGAATTGGGAGCCGACTTGACATAAGCTAACCACCCCCACCCCTACTGAGGGAAGTGATGAGAACAGACTCAGAAAATACTAGGAAGAAAATCAGGAGGAATTGATTTACCAGACATGTAGAAGTCAAGCTTTTTGATTTTTAAAGAGTGCTCCTATAAAAATGATAATGGTGTTTTAAGTGAAAATGATAACATTCTACCTACCAATACAGTTAAATAATTTTTGATAGTTTCTTTTATTATGGACAACAGATCAAGTCCAGTTTTCTCCTGTGAAAACTACTATACACTTTAAGATTTTGTTGGCTTTTTGTAAAGTGTGATTAGATGAAAAAAAAGTTGCCAGAGTTTTATGGATATCATATCTTGCAAAAGCTGAAATGTGACTGTTAAGTTGGACTTCAGCATCATAAAATATTGCAAATAATCAGCTTGATTGTTTTCATGATTTCCAAAAACAGAACTATGGTTTAATTTTCTAAATGGGCTTTAATGTAACATTTTTCAAACGTGCATGTGTATGTTTGTGTGCACTTGTGTTTGCAATCTTTCACGCAGTGGGAAATATTTTAGCATCTATTTTTATGATTTTGTACTTTAAACGTCTTACTTCTGCTCATTAACAACAGCCCCTCCTGTGCAAAGTCCCAATCATTTAAGAATAGTCTTAGGGTCTGAAAGATTCTAATGCATGTCCTGAGGATGATCACAAGAGAAAAGTCCTTGACTCATGCAACATTCATTTAGCTTATAATTGCCAAGGTAAGCAAGCAAGAACACATCTCAACAAATCAAAGCAGATAATGGAGAGGATATTGTTGTTAGGTGCCATCCGGTTGTCCATGACTCAGAGGGAGCCTGTGGACAACAGAAGGAAACACTGCCTGGTCCTGTGCGATCCTCCGAGTCCTTGCTGTGCTTCAGTGTTATCATTGCAGCCACTGTGTCTGTCCATCTTGTTGAGGGCCTTCCCCTTGTTTGCTGACCCTCCACTTTACCAGCATAATATCCTTCTCCAGGGAATGGTCCCTTCTGACAACATGACTAAAGTAGGTAAGATGAAATCTGGCCATTCTCACTTCCAAGGAACATTCTGGCTGCACTTCTTCCAGGACAGATTTGTTTGTTCCTCTGGCAGTCCATGGGAATGAAATATCTGGGGTTTAATCTACACACTGTAGGAACTTATTATTTGCCAACACCACAACTCAAAACTATCAACTCTTACTCAGTCTTCCTTATTCATTGTCCAGCTTTCATATGCATATGAGGCTATTGAAAACACCATGGCTTGATTTAGGTGCACCTTAGCCTTCAAAGTGACATCTTCAGCAAAATTTTACTTATGTATGGGTACAAATACAGATCTTTTCTAGTCAATTGGCCAGGTAGCTGTCTTCCAAATCTCTTGGCATGGCTGAGTGAGTGCCTCCAGTAGGGCATCCTTTTCTTGAAACATCTCAATGGGTATTTTGTCAATTCCTGGAGCCTTGTTTTTTGC